ATACATAGATAGATAGATAGATAGATAGATAGATAGATAGATAGATAGATACATAGATAGATACATAGATAGATACATAGATAGATACATAGATACATAGATATATACATAGATAAATAGATATATACATAGATACATACATACATACATACATATTTATATATATATACAAAGTATGAATATATATATGCTGAAGATGATAATAAAAACAATGCAGTTGAGCTGATAACAAAAAGAAACATAGTGTGACCTTAGGACCCAGACACAACTTAGAAAATAACCTACTTGAACAAGTTTAAACAGAATGTGAAGTTCACTAAGTAAAATGTTTCAAAATAACAGAGTGGGATCAACTCACAACAGACAGATGAAGACAGAGACCAGGATGAACCAAAAATGAAACACAAGACTGGAACCCTACACCCTAACGACATTGTCGTCTCTTCAGGCTTTCGTTTGTATAACTCATCAGGATGTTTTGTTGCTGCTTACATCTGTTCTCCACCTCAGCAGAGAGCCCAGGGACATCTGCGGGACCTGACTTCAGTCTGCACTGTTAGCGCATCCTTGTTGCCTTTCTCTGAGCTTGCAAATTATCTGACACAAAGCACACTTTCTTCTTTTCATCACCTGATAGTTTTGTGGGAGGTAAGAGAACGCTACTGGGGGAAATAAAAAGGAGGGAGGTATTATTTGAAACGTTATTAAAAAAGGGTACTGTGTATGAAAAAAAAAACAATTATATTGGGATTATACGAGATAACGTGCACATGAGTTACCAAGAATGCTTACTGTTCTCCAGAGAAAAGTATGCTTTATCTTATGCTAATTATATATTAGCACAGTCCTGTTGCCTCCCACTGAGGCCTGATTGAGGATGTAGTTGGCAACGTGACAGGAGAGGGTCACCTCTAGCTCTGCAAACCCACTGATTACATCTGAGGTAGTCCATGCATAGAAAAACATCTGAATAAAGGCCTAACCATCTTTAAAGGAATGCAGATCACCCACTGCATTCAGAGTTAAACTAAGAGCGTCGCATGATGAGAAGAGATGGGGATACAGTATAACCTTTTGTTGTAAGAAGGCCCACCAGAAAATGTACTTTTAATCGGAAGCTCTGTGGTTTTAATGTTGATTCTATTTTTATGAGAATGTTTTATTCGTATTTTATTGTCGCTTTTAAATTTCACCTTCATCTGATGGTTTGGGACTTCTGACATTCAAAAACAGGAACGAACTCTCAGGGATTGTCAGGATGTGCAACAAAACTGCTGACATAGCCTACAGAACCTCACTGACCTACACAAAGTGAGGTCAGAGAACAAGGCTAGGCTGATTCTGGCAGATCCTGATCATCCACTCCATGGTGAGTTCAGGGTGCTTCCATCTGGACGCAGGTATCTTCTACCCAGATGTTGAACGAACAGACTGAAAAACTAACTCATCCCTGTAGCGACCAGGCTTCTCAATGAACATTGATGATTTCATGTATTGTTATTTTAAGGTCTCAATGTCTTGTCTAGTATGGATGTTTTGTGTGCCTACTGACTGCGAAACAAATTCTCCCTTGGAGATAATAAAAATTCTTGAACTTGAACTTGTTCAAAACTTGTAAATGACGTTATGTGCAATTTCATGCAATATTACAAAATTCGTTAGGGCTCAGAACATGCCACATCAAACTTTAGCTCCATATTGGGAGATTTAACTATGTTCTAAGTAGGGACACATGATATTGGATTTTTGGCCAATATCCGAAATGCTAATATGTTAAAACGTATTTGGCCGATACACGATACCCAAACCAATACCGATATTTTCCCCTAGACTTACATAGACTACAAAGCTTTCTCTGCTGTGGAATTAAAATACTACATTATTCTGCATGGTCTTTGACAATTTGATCTGCTACCAAATGCAGATGCCAAAAAGGGGCTGAAAATGATGTAACACTTCAACTTGGATTATGTTTAATCTCAAATTTATTCATGACATTTACTCTCTCTAACACAATGACAACACTCGAACAGTGCAAATTTGTAAATTTTCACAAATCTAAATTAAATCTGTTCACAAGCGACAAGTGAAAAGCCCATAAGTAGTAGTGCATTAATAGATATACTTGGCAGTTTCTTAAATTAAAAATGAACTTAAAACAGAAGCCTTTTATATCGGTGAGTTATTTTGATGGAATGGCTGATATCTGATATTTAACTTTATCGCTAATATCGACCGTTACCGATACCATGCCAATAATATCGTGCATACCAAGTTCTAAGCATTTCTCTGTGGGTTATGATTGATGAACTGTGGCAGCCACTTTCAATTGGATTGACTTCAAAAGGTAATCCTTTGTATATGTGCATCAAGTGATTAGGTTCTGCAAATTTCATTCGATTTCATCCAGTGGTTCACGAGATATTTCGATAACAGACAAATGCACACAGATAACGTTATGGATAAGCACCGTCGACAATGAGTAATAACTTACTGTTTAAATGACACTACAATTAACAAGGATCGTGCTTTGTCTCGCTGATGAGCATGAAAATTATGAGAACATATTGCAACATTTCATCTCTTTCTCACTTTTTTTTATTTTTTTATTATTATTTCACGTAAGTCCTGCAAACGAAAATCCATCCAGCTGAACAAATATTAAAAAGACTTCAAGACGACAGCTAAGAAAGCACAGTGCCTGGTTAAGCAGAATAATGGGAGCTCATTACAAGATTATGGACCCCTGTGAAAAGAACAGACAATGACCTTCATTTGCTGCTCTTCTTCCTTCAAAGAGTCTTATTAACTCAAAAGAGGCTCATGGGAAGAAAGAAAAAACAAGGTGGAGAGGGGTTGTTACCTGTCCCATAGCTTGACATTTCTACAGTTGTTGGAGCAGCAGCCAGCTGATATCAACGCTGTGGCAAAAAGAGAGAAGAGGGGAGACACAGAGGAAAAGTCTTAAATGTGCTGTTGTGACAGGCCTCATTAATTTAGAGCTGACGCGTGTCTGTTTAGACAGCTAAAGCACATAAAGATGACTCATGAATAAAACACTTCGAATGACTCGCAGCTTCTGCTGGTGTTTGAAATGTATGTCAGATGTGACAGAGGGAATATGTCACCGCACACATTACACGTACAACTGTCTAAACTAAAAGACAAACTGAAAGACAAAGTGTGGCAGGCATTTTGGGAAATGCCTAATCCTCCACTCGATGGGAGGAAGATCAGATGAGTAAATACACTTTTATGTCTACAAACAAGACAGTCTCAACGCAATTATGCTGATAGGTAAAAAAATAAAATAAAATACGAATGAAATCACATTTTGTTCAAAAATGCAGTGCGAATTCTGAGTGCTGAAATACTGCAGGAATTTGCTAAGGAATGCTGAAACTGAAACAGTGTTGCCAGATTAGGTGGTTTACTGCGCAATTGGGCGGTTTTCATTCTGATTGTGTGGGTAAAAATTGCTTTGGGCGGGTGGCGGGGATAATTTGGGCAGATTTGGAGCTAGACCAGCGGTTTTTGAGTGAACCTATTAAAGCACATTTCAACCAACCATTCGTCATTATTGGTTCATAGCAAAAGCTCCCATGACCTTTCTCTATCAGTGATTGGCTATTGTCATCTGCCAGTGCGTTGACAACAGAGAACTGGTGAGGCGGCGCCATAAATTATGCTAATTTTAGCAGCAGGTGGATCTGGTGTGATAAACCTAGCAGGAAAATGCCAAAGTGGGGAAAACATAAAGAGTTACAGAAAAGAGTGGGAAAGCGACAATTAGCTTCAATCCAACAGCCAACAATCTAATCAGCATTAAAGGTTAGAATTCAAAATCAACAATAGTAAATTTAATTATTTCAGTTATGTAGAAATAAGCTTAGCATATTTGCGTGTGCGCACAGATCATAGTTTGTGTCTTCTATGTGAAGCAGTCTACGTGGTTGTTATGAATCCATCTGCAAACATAGTATGTCAGTGTCATGTGACACTGAATCTGACGTCGCTGGGTCAGAGTCAGTTACGGAGAACAACTCTGGGCAGATTTTGTTGTATTGTTGCGTTTTGCCACATAGTGTTAAATTACCTTGGCTTGTACTGATGTGCATTCATGTTCAAATATTAAATATAACAATATTGGGAGGGCTTTTGTATGATGGGGTGGTCTTTAACAGATTTTAGGGCTGGAATACCTCGACTCTTATCTGGCAACACTGAACTGAAAAATAAAGCTAAAAGCAGAATACTATAAGCTAAAAAATAGTGAAATGCTAGCTAAAAGCAAAAAGTAGAAAAGTGCTAGATCAAAGTAGCAAAACATGAATTAAAACTTTTAAATAGTAAAAGACTAGCTAAAAGTATCAAAAGGTTAGCTTGAAGGAAAAAAAAAAATAAGCCAATTGTTAGCCAGAAGCTAAAAGAAGCAAAATGCTAGGTAACAACAGCAAAAGGTTTGTTAAATGTTAAAAGTAGGAAAAGGACAGTTAAAACTTAAAGGTAGCAAAAGAATACTTTTAACAACAAATGCTACTAAATGCTAATGTTAGCTAAATGCTACTAAATGCTATAGGCTATAGATATTTAAAGGCTATATAAAAAAGCTAGCTAAATGTAAAAAACTAACAAAGCACTGGCTAAAAGTAGCACCAACAAAACCTAGCTAAAACTTCAAAGAAGCAGAATGGTAGCTATGAGTTAAAAGTAGCAAAAGGCTAGCTTAAGGCTAAAACAGTAGGTCCAACAAGAAACAGTACCAAAAGCAAATATAGCGCAAGTATGCTGAAGCAAATTTCAAAGAGAACTTTGTTTTGAACAAATTACGAGATGTCAATGTATTGTGGAAAAGGTAGTTTAATATGTAAAAGTTACAAAGGAAGAAGCGGGTAAAGATGATGGATGGATGGATGGATGGATGGATGGACGAATGATGGATGGATGGATGAAGTTACAAAACCCAAAAATTATTACTGTACACCCATCTCCTGAATAAGTAAAATGTTCCAATATATGAATGGCTATAATGGCAAAAAAAATGAGGAAGTGGTTGAATTCCAAAATAATATTACAAAAAAAATTCAAAACTAATAAACAATAGTGTGGATCCTAATCAACATTCACACAAATAAATTTACAAAAGGGCAAATCATACATTGGGAGGCTGAAGGGTTTGTCATCAATCTGGATAAAACCTGGACCAAGGAACCACCCTGAACTGACAGACATATGTAAAATAAACTTTAATAAAAGTGGTAAAATCAGATTAGTTGTGGCACTAATTTGCAGGTTGTAGTGGACAAAAAGGGTTTTCTCACTCAGTTTACAAGGGTATAAAAACTGACAAAAAAAATCCACTTCAGAGGGAAAGAGACAGAAGGAGAGAAGCCAGCTGAATGTAAATAGTTTTACTAAAAATATCCAGATTTGATTCTTCTGTAAAAATAATGTTCAACTCCTCTCTTTTCACTGGTACAGTGTAGTTCCTGTCACTTGATGCTGAGAAAAACATTTAATTATCACCTGCTGCCGACATTTAAAGGCAACTGAAGAGTGTGTGTTGGACTGTCTGTCATGTTAGCAAAATATCTCATGAACCAGTGGACTGGTTTTTATTCAACGCTAAACAATGGATTTACAAATAACCCAATTCAAGATGGCCGTCACATCTAACTGACCGTAGCTAATTCAAAAATGGTCAGTGGCATTTACAGATGTTGAGCTAAAATGTAGTGTGGTAGAACAAACATAAATGTAAGAAGATAGTCTAAATTTCTGGCATAAAAGGAAGTGGATAATATGCATTTCTTAAATAAACTCTAGACCTGTACTTAGTTATATTTTTATTTGATTAAAAACAATGCATTTAATACATAACCACAACCACGTTTTCTCATCTTTAACCTTGTAAATTGTGCTGCTGGGGTGCACGTTTTAGTGATGCACCTTCATTCTGTGGCTAAATAGGAATCTGTTCAGACCGGCGCCCACACAAGCTGATTTATATAAAGTTTAATCGCCGATGACGCCAGGGACAGAGTGAAATAAAGCAATCACTTTGCAGAATGACTGACAGGCTGAACAGTGCAGAGCAGTAAAGTGTCATACACCCAGCCTGGCACTGTGATGGATGTAGCGCTACTCATTTAACTTTAAACACAAGCCAGGCCCATGATGCAACCTAAGGCTGGCGATCTGCTTAATATCTGTTTATCCAAACTGTTTTTGTGTCAGACAAAATGTAAATCTAAACTTTCCATAGTACCGGACATTGTAGTTTTACTTAAGATGTGAAAATGTGTTTTCGTCTTAAGCGTTCCAAGTTGAAAATATTGTTTCCCTGTACCTCCTTTGCCCTTCGAAATTCTTTTGTCCTCGGCGCTTTGCTTGAAATTTCTATCTCTTCCTCTCTCTGCCAACAATCTCCTCCTCCCCAGGAGTCCATAATCATGTTTTCAGTACACTTCCTCTCCTTAGTACGGTAACATCTCACATTAAAGATTCATAACACTCTTGTGACCGCCTCATTGTGCCAAAGATTCAAGTAGCCACCTTCACTGCTTCCCTGGCCCCTTTTCTTTCACGGTGTTTATGGGATGAAAGGGGTATGATGCAGGACGATAAAACACTGCAAACTCCTTTCAAGGTCTTGGGGGACAAAGCAATGTTGGGGGTATTTTTGTGTGTGGGAAAAGGTAAAACAATATGCAGTTCTTTTTCTCAGAACAAAAAACACACAAAAAAAAAAAACGTACTTGCCGCCGTACACCGCTGTATAAATCACATCAGTCCAAATATGTCAAATAATTTGGAGAAACACATAAATAAGTCGCTTCACCATATAAGTCGCATCTATTATGCGTCACAGCTTGACATGTCGCGTTTCTTATGCGTCACCGCTGACCACCCAGAAATTTGGGCCGGTGTTGTGCCAAAAATCGATTGGCTGCCAAATAGTGGCCGCAGGAGCGTGCATGGGAGGACCTTAACAAGAATTTAACAAGATTACAACTTAAAAACAATTATTTGTTTTGCTCAAAATTATAGAAAAGGTTTGTCTCAGTCTAACTTTTGCTTAATAAATGCACTTTAATAGTCAAATCAGCTGCACTTTGCCTGGGCGGCTCGGCGAAATGCAGCTAATTTAACATTTGTTCCAGGAGTTCTGGAGCGAGACGAAGGTGGCTTTGTATGGCAAGCTAAGTGTCGCATTAATAGCCACTTTTACCTATTAATGAGACACTTGGCCTGCCATATATGTCAAGGGCCCTCTAGCGGCTGAAAATGGTAGTGTTCAATATTTTCCATGTCAGAATGAATTAGTTTGTCAGATCTCAGTCAAAAATTGGAATATAAATATGGGGGGAAAATGCATATTAGTCGCTTTGGTGTATAAGTTGCAGCACTTGCAAATTTATGCAAAACAGGTGCGACTTATATGGCGAAAAATATGGTACCTCAAAAGTTTAGCTCATTCCTTTTTGTATACTTCCTGAAACAGTATCTGAACATATTTTAGTGGATCAGTCCAGGAAGAAATTCAATGCTGGCATTGGAATCAGCCTAAATGATAAACAAAAACACATTTTAAAGAATATTTCTGATATTTGATAGTACAGTTGTTAGCATAATTTTGATTAGTTAGGGTTTGACCTGCAGTAGTTAGCTGTCAGATTGATTTCAGTTTGGAGAAGTTCTCATTGAGGCTTCAAGCTCCCCCTTGTTAGAAGAGGGCCACATCAACAGAAGGCAGAAGACAGTTAAGGCACATAAAATGTATTCGTATTGTCTGAGGGGCACTTCCAATGTCACTGGTATTGGATCAGCATATTAATGCGGAAAAAGTCACATTGGAGGACTCATAAGGTTGACAATGACACAAGACCATACATAGCTGCTAAAGTTGCACATTACTATG